GGGCGACAATGGTGAGTGCCGCGACTTAGCGCTTGCCGAGCAGGGCTCAGAGCTCCGGCAGATCGACCCGGCGGACGCTGTGACGTCATTCGCTCGGGCCTTCGAGGGTGTCGACGTAGTCATCAGTATTGTTGGCACGAGTTCACCCGAATACAACGACGCGCTTTTCGAGAGTGCACCGAAGAGCCGGGTGGACTCTTGATTACGCTACAGCTCGTCCTTGCGTACGCTACAGCTCGTCCTTGCGTACGCTACAGCTCGTCCTTGCGTACGCTACAGCTCGTCCTTGCGTACGCTACAGCTCGTCCTTGCGTATGCACTGGACGTATAGAATCGAGCAGCGACAACCGCCGAGGAGGAATCGCGGAACACGAGACTCGAATGTTGGCCCGGACTAGGATAACAACCTCGTCAAGTCGATGTGCTCCAGCGAGTGCCAGCGGCTGGACCTCCACGAGATTGTCGCCAGGAGCAAGTACATCTATTGAAGATCAGCGCGGATGATCGTCCTCGCAATAACAGTACATAAAGGAATATCTTACCATGGAGAAGGAGGAGATCCGTCTGAAGTGGGCGACGCGAGCCGCGGGTTACTTTTATGTCCCCGCACAGGCAAAGGTCTATTTTGTCACCCGTATCCCCGAGGGGTAGGTGTCTTAAACATGCTCAAGTCGTTTTTCGAGCGGATCACTCATTATAGGGCTCATGCAGATCAACAACGCTGCCTTCGTCAAGGTCACTAAGGCGACTAAGCAGATGGTTCGTCTCGTTGAGGCTTATGTGGCGTAAGGGTGCGTAGATGTTATGCTGAGCTTCACTCCTTCATGCGTTGATGAGTCATATTCAGTGAACCAAACCTGAAGCCTGTTCGCCAATCAATCTACAAGCGCGGCTGTGACAAGATCAACAAGCAGCGCATTCCTCTGACCAACAACGCTGTGATCGAGGAGTCGCTCGGCGAGTTCGGCATTTTCTCTGTAGAGGGGCTCGTCCACAAGATATATATAGCGGCCCCAACCTTCAAAAAGGTACGTTTAAGTCTTCATAACGATTTTCGCGCGGAGTACGAGCTATACCCTCGTACGCGTCGAACTTCCCCTGGCAATTCAAGCTCTCGAACCCTACTGGTGGCTGGAGAACACGGAAGTTCAAGAAGTTCAAGCAGCTCGTTGAGGATGGCGGCTTTGGCAACTGCGAGGAGAACATAACATAAACAAGCTCGTTCGGCAAATGAACTGGGCGTCGCGGCTTACAGTTGCTTGAGCGAGCATCACGCATGCGCTGGGGTTGCTTGTCGTCATGTCCGTTGACCTGTTGCGTGATGAAATGAGCATTGAATATTTTTGCCACATGATCTGAACTTTAACTAAACAATGGCCCTGTGCACACCCATTGTTCCGCTTGCTAGTTTAATTGTTATAATTCTCTCTTTGTTCCTACCGCAGCACACACGTCTCAATCGAAGGCATAATGGCAGGAACAACCATTGTGTCGCTGGCATATATGCCCTCCTGCCGCCTGCGCTCAGCTAGAGTAGGTCCATCCCACCTG